TTTCAAGACTAGCAGTTCATTCCCCTTCATACTTATTTGTTAATTTGCTGAAGATAAACTAACAAATTTTCTGGATATAAATTCCAAACAAATGATTGGAATGCCAATTTGTTAGGAGCAGAGAATCTTATCTTCTCTAATTAACAATTGTTATCATGGCCCCAAGGATGGCAACATCTTAAGACATTCTGATTCTCTCAGTCTCTATTGTTCAGTGAGTGATGAACTGGGAATTACCTCTTTTTTTTTTTCTCCCTACAATTACATCTCTTGTTTCTTCCTGGATCTGGCTAGTAACTCTCTTCTTCTAGAATACTTTCCTAGATTTTTAGTCTGTTCTCTGATCATTTATTTACTCTATTATCTTCATGTTTTAACCAACCTTTATTGATGACTTGTGTCTAAATTTTCTTAATTCATTTCATATTTACATATATCTGTCCACTTGAAGGCAGTTTGGGCATTGAGGGCATTAGGATGTTTTAAAACCACATTGTAGCTGCCACCTTCCATCTGCCTTTACAATTCTGGGTAGAAACGGATCATGAAATATCATTAAGTGATATTATTATTTTTACAAACTAGAGAACAGTTAATGAAAAAAATGAAATTAAGTCACATAGCAAGTATGTGCTGAAATTGAGACTGGAATCTAGAATTATCCATATTCTGTACATTCAACAACTCATTGCTGGGGATAAAGCATGTAACAGAAATGTGTACCTCAACGGCCAGTGACCAATTTGATGAGTTGTGATGTTACACACCAACATTGCACTGCTGATTGGTGCTATTTTGTTTAGCTCAAAAGAGTCTAAAAATTACCATAGAAAGAGAGCTAGACTACAAAAAAGAGGACTCGGGTTCAAACCGCTGATCAGTTATATGTTGTCAAAGTCAACTCTGAGTTTCAGTATTGTCTCAGGAAATGGAAGAGATAACCTAGATGATCTCGAGATGCCTTCCAACATTAAGATGCTGGAAATGCTACTATGGTACCAGAGTTGAATATTTCGTATATTCAGAGATGGAAATGTTGGAAGGCAGACAAAAATTAGTCAAAATATTTCTTTACAATAGAATTTATGTAAATAATACCTTTTCTAGGATATAGAATCAAATATATCATTGAATATGAAAAAATGTAATGTAGTTAACTATTATTTGTCAAGTTCAGAGAAAGTCTGGGGTAAGATTTATGCTAAAGGATCATCCAAGTAGGTCCAATCATTCAGAAGTCATTTAAAGACTTTGGTGAATCTTACGGTCACTCTTCATGTAGCACATCAGTCAACACTGATGCCTGGGATTAGGCATACCAAAAAGTTACATTTTTAGAAACTGTGAATCCTGATGCCAGTTTGTTTGCCTAATTTTCATAAAGAGAGAATAGGAATGTGCCTGAGTATAATTTCTGTCCAGAATGCTTACTAAAAAAGACTTTCAGTTGATATACTGTGATATAAACAAATTATTGTTATTTTCTTGAAAATCTGCACAAAACTGTTGAATAGGAAAGGAGGAGGCCAAGAGTTTAAATCCACAGAAGGTAGCAAGACATAGTCTATGAAAGACATAGTCTAAAAGGGTTTGAAGACCACCCTGAGCAAATAGACAAGTGGTAACAGGGAAGCTACAGCTGAAAGAGGCAGCTGCTCACATGGACTTAGTATGGAGGCTGAGTTATTACCATTCATAGCTAATGCATTAGAAGATATTCATTTTACCCTTTCCTCCTCTGAGGCTACCCTCACTTCCCTGTTCAAAACTCTTATTTCTGCCAGGTTAATCTGTGGGGCAGGCATGGATATTGTTGCTATGAGAAAAGGCCCCAGTATATGTATGATTCCTGCTTTTTATGGAGGATTCTCCAACATAACATTACCCATTTTGGCAATCATTCAATCAATTTATGTATCACTCCTTCAATAATCACTACGTTCCATATAGTGTATTCCATACTGTGGCATGAAAAAGGATTAGCCAAAATATAGGCTGTTAATTTATGAAACAACCTGGATGAGCCTTAAATATATTATGCTAAGTTAAAGAAGTCAGACTGAAAGGCTCTAACTATATGATTCCATCCATATGACGTTCTGGAAAAAGCAAAATTACAAGGATCAGTGGTAACAAGAGTCTGGGGAGGGGTAGTGTTTGACTAGGGTAAGCTCAGGAGATTTTTTTGCAGGACTGGTGGAACTAATCTGTATGGCACTGTAATGGTGAATACAGATGCTTTGTATCTGTCAATACCCATAGAACTCTGCAACACAAAGAATGAACTAAAGTATGCAGTTTCAAAACACAAGAAATCAACCAGAGGATCAGGGGCTCCCAGGGTAGAATGCAGACTCTGACAAAAGAATCCAACAATCACATGTGTATAACATAACCCCACTGAAGGGAGTGCAGGAAAAAAAAAAAACACTATCCCAGGGGACTCTGGAAACAATATTTTGAATGGAAACTGTGAGAATAAATTCAAAAAGAACCAGACATAAACATTGTACTCTAGTTGGCAAAATTGTCTCCCATGGCAGAGTGGGTTAATAATTATGAAACTGCTATACTGTGACACTGGGCTGGACATAAGTGAAGAACGGCAGATAGCAGGACCCGTTTTTTTTTTTTTAGCTGTTAGAGAGGGAACTTACTGGTAAGTAAGGAAAGGGCTAGAATGAACTATGTAGTGCTAGATTAGATTCAGAGACTTCAGTATGAACTCATGAGTTGCTTAATGTAGCTACAGATGAATAGATATAACAATAGATATGTAAGTACATGGGTTGGTATATGAATATATATTTCCTAGTTCTGTCCTGGAAAAGGCCACAAACAATGACACCTAGTAGCAATGAATACACCCAGAACCCAGATCTTCATGTCTAACACCATTCTCCAATAAGAGGAACCAGGGATCCTTGAAGAAATGGCTGATTTGGAGACAGGGACAGGGAAAATACCAGATAAGTCTGGAATATCTTACAGGGATGGAAAGTAACGAAGTGCTCAACAAATAAAAGAAGGTATTGGTAAAGAGAGTTGTTCAGCAGTCAACCTGAAGGAACTCTCAGTGACAAAAGCAGGAACCATTTGAGCAATAAAACAAATAACATAGTATTGGATTATAACCCAAAGTATAAAATAAATATCTGTGAGTCCATCCATATTTATATATTAATAAATGATTGAATTAATAAATATATGGGAGAGAATTAAGCAGGTCTCCTGTGCAGAAGGATTCCAAATACTATACTATACTATCTATACTTTATATAGAAAACCCCTCCTCAAAGAGGCAGAGCTTAACTCCCTATCCCTTGAGTATGAACTAGGTGACTTTCTTCCAAAGAGTATAATATATGGAAAGAGGGTGGGAGGAGTAGTGGAGTGTAGCCTGGCAAATACTACCTCACTCAGGTAATCAAGCTTAACATTATCAGTGCCAAGTCATGTCATTTGTATGTCCCCTGGGTATCATGTGATGAAATTGTTACTTTACTCTCCGGTCTTCTTCCTCAAACCAATAACTACAGATTAACCATGAGAAAAATGCCAGACAGAGCTGAGAGACATTCTGCAAAATACCTGACCAGTTACTCCTCAAAACTGTCGAGGTCATCAAAAACAAGGAAAGTCTGAGAAACGATCACAGATTAGAGTAGTCTCAGGAGACATGACAAATAAGTGTCATGAGCTATCCTGCCTGAGACCCTGGAGTCCTATGAGAAAACTAGTGTCATCTACACAAATGTAGATTTCATTAATAGTAATGCAAGACATTGACAACGGGGGAAACTGGCTGAGGGTTCTGTGAGAACTCTCTGTATTCTCTTTGCAACTTCTCTGATAATCTGAAACGAGTCTAAAATAAAATGGTCATTTAAAAGAATATAGACCAAAACTATTAGTTCAGGACTGTTTGGAAGAAAAAATAAATAAAACTTTGTCTTTCACTATGGATAGTTTGAGAAGCACTAATTTATAAAATATCCGATCCAGGACAACTTAGACTTCCAGTTTGAAATTTTCTGTTGCTCTAAACTGAGATGGTTTTGAACTCCTTGCTACTTTTCAAAGGTATTTTTCTGTTAAAATCCTGGAAGTCTGATGTCACAACACTTTGTTCTTTGTTCTTTTATCCACCCCATGATATTTTGCTGCAAACCCTGTCATTGTCAAGACACAGCTGACAGGCTATGTAAATCATTCACAGTGTCTTTCAGTTCCTGGAATCCCAGTGTTATTTAGGTTCATTAAAGGGAACAATTTGATCCAGGTACAACCACATCATTACTAAGCCATCCATTGAAAATTCAGTGACAATGATATACAGAAATATACAGTTATATACTTAAGAATATCACATTTGATCATAAATTAAATCACATGTCATCCCTTGTGCTGTTCCCTGTTTACAGTTTCAGAAAGCCGTCCTCTTCTGTAAAATCACAACACCTTAATTACGATGTATCACCCATAAAAGGGTAAAAAAAATGTACACCCATTTCTAGCTATGTTAGTATGCAAACGACAACACGTACTGGCTTTGCAAATCATCTGAATAATGAATGTAAAAAATAACAAATATGTTTTTTATAACCAAACAGTTATAGATGGCAAACTGTAATTATCAGTTCCTTGTTAGATGGTTAGGGTTTATTATTTAGTTGGAAGAACTAGGGAGAAGGGGTTTGCCCATAAAGTGGTATATAAAACAACAATAGCCTATATATTGTTCTAAATGGCTTTTTGGTGGTTAATCTATCTATTGAGATAGGTAAGAAAAAAATTGCAATTTGAGATTATTGTTTACTATTTGATTTATTTCACCACTGAAATCAACTAACCGTTTTTTAAATCATGTTTTATGAAATATTCCAAGGGTCTGTTTTCTTTTGTAGTATAAATTTGGATGGAGTAGGGGGTGGGATTCCTCTATCCATTTAAAGGCATGAAATATTTTCTTTAAACAGTATTCCTTTTATTATTCCTAGACAATCGTTAGAGGAAACAGGCCTGGCAAGGAAGCCTCCATCAATGGCCTGCTGGAGGATTTCGACAACATCTCTGTGACTCGCTCCAACTCCTTAAGGAAAGAGAGCCCACCCACCCCAGACCAGGGAGCCTCCAGTCATGTTCCAGGCCATTTGGAAGAAAATGGCTTCATCACCTTCTCCCAGTATTCCAGTGAATCTGATACTACTGCTGACTATGCGACCGAAAAGTACAGAGAAAAGAGTCTCTATGGAGATGATCTGGATCCGTACTTCAAGGGTAGCCATGCAGCCAAGCAAAATGGACACGTAATGAAAATGAAACATGGGGAGTCCTACTATTCTGAGATGAAGCCTTTGAAATCTGACATTGCCAGGTTTCCTGTCGATTATCACTCACATTTGGACTCGGTGAGCAAACCAAGTGAATACAGTGACCTCAAGTGGGGGTATCAGAGAGCCTCAAGTAGCTCTCCTCTGGATTACCCATTCCAATTCACGCCTTCTAGAACTGCAGGGACCAGCGGGTGCTCCAAGGAGAGTCTGGCTTACAGTGAAAGCGAGTGGGGACCCAGCCTGGATGACTATGACAGGAGGCCAAAGTCCTCGTACCTGAATCAGACGAGCCCCCAGCCAACCATGAGGCAGAGGTCCAGGTCAGGCTCGGGGCTCCAGGAGCAGATGATGCCATTTGGAGCAAGTGCATTTAAAACCCATCCCCAAGGACACTCATACAACTCCTACACCTATCCTCGCTTGTCCGAGCCCACAATGTGCATTCCAAAGGTAACGTTCACTGCCTCCTTTCCCTCGATGGTGGGAGACCCTCCCCAAAGGTGGTGCTGGCATGACCTTCTTAAACAGTCAGATGTTGAAGTGCTTGTTTACCTTCTAAGTGAGAATTCATATAGACATTCTACTTTAATTCTATCCACAAGGCCCAAGGGCAGAGGGTGTAAGATGAGGCACATATATTCATTAAAATAAAAATCTGCCTTTTGGGGTTTCCTGCAGGGTTTATGATTGAAACAAAGAAAATTTTATTTATTTGGAAATAAACTGTTATTTACAGTATTTTAACATACTAATGATAAATATTATGTGATCATATTTTACTGAGTTCTCTGTTAAGGAGTATACAGTGGTAGACCATTAGGTGGTTCCTGCATTCTGGCAAAGTTTACATGAACCTGCTAAAAAGGAAAACAACTCAGGATAATGTGGTAAGTTTTTGATAAAGCTAATGCTATTCAACTCAAGGGATAGTCCCTCACTTTGAGAGTATGTTCTTTTCACTATTTTTTTTTTTTTGAAATATCAGTTTTTGTACAAAATTCTGGGATCATAGGTAGTAGCTAGTTGCTGGATCTTTTTGGAATGCTTTTAAGTTTGGTTTTGAGCCAGGCTCGGTGGCTCAGCCGGTAATCCCGTGCTTTGGGAGGCTGAGGTGAGTGAATTGTTTGAGCCCGCAGGTTAGAGACCCGCCTGGGCAGCTTGGTGAGACCTCATCTCTACAATAAATCAAAAATTAGCCAGGCATGGTAGCTCACGTCTGTAGTTCCAGTTACTTGGAAGGTTGAGGCGGAAGGATCGCCGAAGCCCAGCAGGTCGAGGCTGCGGTGGCCAGGAGCGACCACTGCACTACAGCCTGGGCGACAGAGTGAGACTCCAACTCAAAAAAAAAAAAAAAAGTTTGGTTTTATTGCAATTTCTCTCTTGCTAAAAAAAGTTTTTACTATGTAGTTGCTGGGAATTTGCTTTGAAATTTGACTAGTCCATGATACATCAAAGTTGGGAAGCACTGCTGGAGACGTTACTGGACTTAAGGGCACAGACATCTCCATGAGGGCTGAAGGCCTTTGGAAAATACCTTTGAAAGTATGCAAGAGGTTGGTTTTCCATGGTGACTTAGAAATGTTTCTACTACCACACCTGTAGAGAAAAAGTAAAAATTGTGTGTAGGTGGTAGACTGTGCACAGAGGTCTCAAATCAGCTGAGAGAGACATGACTTCTAACAATGATCATCATATTTTGTACCAAACTCTCTCCTCAGTGGTTTCATGGGCAACACAGCAAGCTCTGGAAGGCAATTTTGCATTTATCTGCTTTATTGATTATAGATAGTCAATATATTTTCCTTTACTTATTATTTCTCATAAATTGATTCCAAGATATTAAAGAGAAACCATTTAAGGACATCCTGAGAATTACTTAAGCCATACTTCAGAACAAAACAAAAACTATCTTTTTAGTTCTCAAGATATAAAATTTAAAATAAATCCTGAGAAATTGAGGTCTGAGATATGCTCCTCCAGTTTATATTTCATAGAATGACAGTATTTTTAATCTCATAGTGTTAAGATATTTGAACACCCACAGTCAGTGTATCCTGACTGCCTTTACTTCCTATGTGCTTGCCTGGAAACTGTGGGAAAGAGGTCTAATTAACCACAGACAAAAGTTATATGGAGTCATACTCATGTACCGTTGTACATGAGACAGTTTATTCCATTTTCTGTGTGTATCGCTCTCTGTGAGTAACATGGCTGGGGGAAACCCCTCATAGTTCTAGAATGACATAAGCAGACTATAGCTGAATCGAGGTACCGCTTCAGGCTTTGAATATTAGTTATTTTTTAAATTTAAGATTGTGTATGTGGTATTTTTGAACACATGTTAGGAAGCTGTTTGGGGTCATAGTCACAGAGAAAATGTTGCTCATGGACATGGTTGGCCCTCCCAGTATTTGCTTCCAACAGCCAGAAAACTCAAGAGATTTCACTTAGAATTCTCAGTTTTTTTGAGTTTCGGGCTTCTCTTGAAAAGAAACAAAATAAACAAAAATGAGATGACCTTGGATCCCTGGGTCCACATTTTCACATAGCATGGGAAATAGAATTAGCTGGAGACAAGACTTGCCCCATTAGAAGGGATATGGGCTCACCAGTTTGTCCCAGTACTGCCTAGCCTACCTCATTCATTTTTCCCCTTATTGGACTAATCTTCAGAGGCTTTTAGGAATGACTGTCACCACCAGAAATCCCTGAACACTCATTTCCTAGAAGAGGAAACTGAGGTCCAGAGAGCCATGTGGCACACTCAGGTTTTCTTAGGTATCTGCAAACCAAGGACAAGGATCCATGTCTGGTGGTTCTCCAGTCCAGTACTTTCCTATTATATGGGCCTATGTTCTTTCGGGGATTTGGCTGCATTTGCCAGTAAAACCTGTGACGTGTCCCAGTGGCCATCAGAACTTTGGGCTAAGTGGAGGAAAACAAAGAGGAAATAAAGAAGGAGGGAAGGGGGGGCATAATTCGCTTTATTCCTTACAGACTTCCTCTTCCTGCAACCTTCAACTCTAAGACAAAGCAGACCTGCCCTGAAACCTGGCTTTGTCAAAGCCAGAAGCAATGCAGAAGCTTTTGTGGCTCAGGGGAAAAAGTAACAATATAATATAATAATAATAATAATAATAATAGTTTATTTGCCTATGGGAATTTCTACTGAGGGTTCTTCAGTCTTTGCAATCAGGACTCCAAAAAGCAAGCCGCTTCTCACTTTTCTCAGGAAATTCACAAACAGAAATTCATGGGAGGGTAGGCATATTAATAATTAAAATGCTTAAAACATGGAACCAACCATGTTGCCCATCGAAGCTGGACTGGATAAAAAAAATGTGGTACATATACACAATGGAATATTATGCAGCCATAAAGAAGAACAAATATATGGACTTTGCAACAACTTGGATGGATTTAGAGTCGATCATACTCAGTGATCTATCACAGAAACAAAGAATGGAGTACCATATGTTCTCACTCATAAGTGGACCTTGAACAATTATAATACTATGAGAAAGCTATTGGCAGTAGTGGGAAACTGTCAGAGGAGAGGGGGTAAGATTGGCAGTTGAGGGAAACGGCTAGGGGAGGAAGGGGCACACCTCATCAACAAGGATACCTGCATAATCAAAGTTTGTATACTTAACCCTGAATTGTACCCCACATCTTTATAATAATAAAAAAACTATTAATCACAGAAAAAAAAATTAAAATGCTTACTTGAGTAAAAATATAACATCTCTCTAAAAAGACTTAGGTGCCCGTTTCTTTAGAACTGTACTCTTAGAAATCTACCCGTCACATTTGGATTTCCAGCTGGGGGAAGAAATAGCTCAGATAAATTGGCTTTGCCTCACAGATCTTAGAAAAGGCTGGATGATGTTCACGTCTCCAATAACAAGAGAAAGTACAAAACTTGTGTGGGTCTCCAGGTGGAGCAAAAATGAAGAGGGGTGTGTGTGTGTGAGTGTGTGTGTGTGTGTGTGTATGTGTGTGTGTGTGTGTGTATGTGAGAGAGAGAGAAACTTGTTTTACCTTTTGATCTAAAGAATAAAAAATTCTAATGTTAACCCACAGCAAAAAAACTCCTCCAATGTTATCTACCTACCTAATTTTCATTTTTAATTTTATTTTATTTTTAAAATGTGGGGTACAAATGAAGGCTAGGGGCATATGTGGTCATCATAGAGGTAAAATGTGGGTACACTTACTGATATTATGAGCCCCCTCTCCCCTGGTGGTGTCCCACTACAGCCAATCCCTTTCTTATAGTCGTATGATAAATGTTCAGGTTCCACTTATGAGTGAGTACATGTGGTACTCAAATCTCTGTTTCTGTGATAAATCAGAGTATTATAGACTCTAATTCCATCCAAGGTGCTGCAAAGTTCATAATTTTGATTTTCTTTTTGACTCCATAATATTGCATTGTGAAAATGTACCACATTTTCTTTATACAGTTCATTTTCTATGGGCAGCGTGGTTGGTTCTGTTTTTGCTATTGTGAATAATGGTGCAATAAACATGTGTGTGCAGTTATCTTTATTTTTGTATTATCTATCTATCTATCTATCTATCTATCTATCTATCTATCTATCTATCTATCTATCTATTTATCTATCTATCTATGAGTTGGATTCTCATTCCATCACGCAGGCTGGAGTGCAGTAGCATGCTCACAGCCACTCCAGTGTCAATCTGCTGGGCTCTGGCTATCCTTCCGTCTCAGTCTTCCAAGTAGTCGGACCTACAAATGCACACTACCACATCCAGCTAATTTTTTATTTATTGTAGAGACGAGGTCTCTCCAAGTTGCCCAGGCTGATCTTAAACCGCGGGCTCAGGCAATCCACTAGTCTCAGCCTTCCAAAGTGCTGGGATTACAGGCTGCGCCACCAAGCCTGGCCGGTGTCTTTATTATAGAGTGATTTGAGTTTCCCCATGTATATTCCCAGAAGGGGAATTGCTAGATCATATGGAAGGTCGATTTTCAGATTTTTTTTAGAAATTGACACACTGTTTTTCACAGAGGTTGTACTAGTTTACATTCCACCAATAGTGTAGAACTGTTCTCCTTTCCCAACATCCTCTCCAGCATTTGTTTTTGAGTTATTGATGATGGCATCCTGACTGAAGTTAGATAGTATCTCAGTGTGGTTTTAATTTGCATTTCTTCGATGATTAGTGAGTCTGAGCATTTTTTTCATGTATCTGTTGGTTGTTTGTATGTCTTCTTCTGAGAAGTGCCTATTCATACTTTTTGCCTATTTTTAAAATAAGGTTGTTTGTTTGTTTTTTCCTTTTGAGTTCCTTGTAGATCTTGGATGTTAGGCCTTTGTCAGATTTACAGTTGGTAAATATTTTTTCCCATTCAGTGGGTTATCTCCCCACTCCCTTGATGATTTCTTTTGCTTTGAAGAAGTTTTTCAGTCTGATAAAGTCCC